TGATGAGATAGGGTATATGCAGGATAAGAACCAGATTTGGAACATTGACCAACTATAATTCCGTTGCAACTGAAATGAACGATAAGTTGATAGCATCAGTGCAGACATACCTCAGCCGGATAGGCTTTGAATATTGGAAGGAATCGTTTGCGGCAGTACTCATTGAAAAGAAGCGTGAGAATCGGAAGAGGAATGGTCAGACTGGAAGCTAAGGGAACCTTTTTGAGCCCAAACATTCCAATTGCAATGATGTGCATCAGCACCAAGGCAAAAATTGTTGAATTGTGCACTGTTGGCCAAAATTTTCCGTCGGTTTCATACTTGGGTGCATATACATTCAGAAACTGTCCAAAATTGTCAATATATGTCATCAGAATATAAATAAGCAAAACTTGTTAAATACAACGAAAAGTACAATAAAACTTTGATCAACGACCAAATACAAACTTAGATGGTACAAAATACGAAGTAAAGTTGAAGTGTCAGCCTACTTTTTGAATAATAAGTTAGCAACTCAACTGAATAGGATCCTATATGAGCTTCTAGATCACTAAAATGAACACAAAATTCAAGATGTAACAACAAAGCGAAAAATTGATCATGCAGAAAGCTTCCTTGTCTGAGGTTCGGAGGTGCAAGAGGAGATTGGGGTTGCACCGATTTTTTAATTTTATTTTTCATCACCCTTGCACCAATATTTAGTCATGAGACAACCTACATTTTGGAGGTTCAGTCTGATCCATTTGAAACGCTAATAGGTACTAAAAATTACCCAATATGTTGCATTGGGACTTTTCAAAACATGACGTTGTATTGTGTCCTTAATACGTACTTCCCATCCATGTCCATCTTCTTTCTAAATTAAATTATAATTGGTTTGTCATAGTTAGAGAATAATTTTTCACAAAGAGAGATCATCCAACTAACCTGGTTACGGAAGATTATGTATCCCAGACAACAGTAAACCAATAGGAACGGGAGAATTAGTGGAGCTAGGAAGAAATATGTTATTCCAAGGAGTTCAAAAAAGAGAACTCGAGGAATTTCACTATGGTATGGAATTGAAGGAACCTCAAATTCATCATCTTTTCCTGAAAATGGTCTTTTTATGATACTCCAAATCAGGGGACTCACGCGGAAGAGTTCTGAGGCTAGAAGACTGGTCCATCCAGATGTCACAACATATGCAATGAAGAATGATGCCTGCATCCAATATAAGAATCTATATAACAACCTTCATCATGAAATTCGTGATGCAAACAATTGGTTTCAAAAGTTAAAGATACAGCATTTCAGCGGAATCTCAAGTTTACCAGACAAATAGAGTAACATATGACCATAAAAGGACCACGGGTTTTTGGTTGATAACAAATTTTCTTCACATTATCACCAATATTATAAATTGATGACGATTGAGGATAAGTTTTTCAAAAGTTATGGATCAGGAAAAAAATGACCAGGAAGCAAAGTTCAAACTTACAACTTTGTGTGAACCCTTTAAACAGTTACACAACGTAATGAACTTGCAAAAAGCAACTAAAAATTAGTATGATTATTCTAGTGAGAGGAGAGATACATGCTAACGTGACATATGTATTTTTACCTGTGCTGGAACAGCATCAGCAAGTATCCCCGGAATCTTTTTGGGCTCAAGAAAGATATTGAACCGATAGAGAACTGTTCCTGAAAGTGTATTTGCCAAGAATATATTCCATATTGTGAACCACAACATCTTGCCGCATGCACTTTTTTGTATCTGACTGAAAGAGATGTATCCTTCCATGGAAGACAACATTATCATGATGGGTGGCACAAAAGAAAGGAACAATTGGAGAATAAGACTTGGAAGATATCCTGTTATGACTTCACTGACAACTGTTCTGAAAGTCAAGAAAATCGTATGATTCAGCAGATCGTAAATAAAACAGTAAATTAGTAAAAGTGATAAATTCTCACTTACAGGTCCAGTACGCTTTTCAGAAACGGAAACCAGGCTTCCAACTGCTCAAGATGAGTAAGGCCTTGCACAATTACAACTGGAATGAGGAACAGAATTGTAAGAGCAGTATATGCAACCACCACCACCAGCTTGGAGATCCGTCTTTTTATAAAAGATGCAGAAAAGAAGGGCCAGTGAACGTCCTGGGGCTCCGGGGCCCTCTCAGTAACCCATTCTGTGGGATTTGCTCCTTGTTGAATGTGTAAAGCTACTGCAGCACCAAGCCGAGACTTGAACGACACAAAAGCAGCTCCAACTTCCTATTATTAATATTTTGGGCATTCGCATCAAATTTCATGTTCATATAAATCAAACAATTTCAGAAAAATCTATTGGAACTCTGATCTTTTTTCCTCTAAATTTCCGATATGTCTTTTACAAGTCAACATGTAGGTATGCATGTTTATTCATGCAATTCGTAAAGCCACCATAACAAAAATAATAAGAGGAACAGTGTGTGCTACTCATTTCTATTATTTTTCCTGAATACTTTTGTTTCAACTCTACAACAACAACAACAACAAAGCCTTATCCCACTAAGCGGGGTCGGCTGTTTGCTAAATGAAGTCTTAAGCAGAGGAGGACTTCTTTAATACCATCAGCAAACAATTACTATCACTCTTTTGAAAAAAACAATAGCATGAATACCTTTCCTGCCACTGACGATTGCTCCATTCTCACATTATCTTCTAAATCATCCAATTTCTTTCCATAGTGATCTAAAACATCAACTTTGCGTCCAAACAGCCCCCAACAGCCATCACACCTTAATCTTTGCTGAGTATTAGTTTCTGATCTCAGACGCACGAGCTTTCGGTATAGCTTCCCCGCATCACTCTACAAGGAAAAGAAAATGAATTGTTCTCATATCTCATTGATAGAGAAATGTTAATTGTTACAATTTTGTTCAAATGCTCTCTGGTTTGATGTTTCAGAAACCAAAAAAAATATAAAGTACGACTGATAGCCAGGCAGTGCGGGATGAAGCAAGTAGAAGGGGACTCTGGAGTGTGATGTGTAATAACCTAAATAGGATACACATAGTAATTACAGAAGCACCAAGCGGGGCTTTAGAATACAACCAAAAAAATTAACTCGTTGGGGCTTAGTCTGATACTCATCAAAAACTAATTAATTAATTAAAGGTTGTGAAAGCTTAGCCTCGTAAAAATTAAAAAGTCAATCCAATGAAGATGATGGAGCTCGAGAACAAATTAATTCATAAAGCTTTTGTTTTTCAGCAAAGAATAATGAGGTACTGAGGGTGCATAAACAGATATATGATGTGTTTGATTATCTGCACACATTTCCAGGACTATCTAATAAAAAATGCATTCGAGCATAAGCACATGTCAGGATTATACATAACAGAATGCTTACAGTGAGACGTTGGAGTTTGTTAGTTCGACGAACCATTGAATGTGAAAGATATGTAGAAGGATAATACTCTGTAAAAAAATTCTCAACAGTTTCACTGCAGCTGCTCCCAGATGAGACTGGAACAGCACGAACTAATACTGTAAACTGATGAGGCTGAGGTTTGGATGAATAGAAGTGAGCAATTCTTTTCGATGAGATAAAGCTATATTCCTGCAGTTATAGTCATCAAGTTGAAATCACAATTGATTCTTTCTTTTCGACGAAACAGAAAATTGTGATGGAATAAGCCATGAAAGAGAAACAAAAACCGACTTACATAATAAAGAAGATAGCAGACGACTCCAGTGAAAATGTATGCTGCACAAAAGTGAACCCATAACCTTGGGGAAACCGAAACAGATAATCAGGGTATCTTCAGAATAATTTTACTATGCCTGCTATATATGTAATAAAATGTACTTGAAAATGAACTAGCAACAACAAAGAGGAAAACTCCACAGAGACGTACATGCTGAAGTTATTTTGAACAGCAAGTGAGAAAGTTATTCAACCAACATAAGTCTAAATCTGGGTATTAGCTCGAACAACTTCACTCGCACCTCCTAGTCTATGAGTGTACAAGCACAAAAAGTAAGAGAAAACTCCAATACAATTGCCGATCTCTAACACAATATATCCAAAGTAAGCTTATATTTAAAAATTCTCCCAGAGAAATTAGAAGACACATCAGAGACCTATATCCAAATGTCAACCCATGTGCAAAAAACTGCTATCCCGCCTTTCGTTGGCTTTAAATGTGCAAGCATATAGAAAAGCATACAACTTGGTTACAACGATTGCCAAGGGAAATCCGGTACATCCTAATTCCTAGGTTTTTCACTTTAAGCGACTCACTAACTTAAAAGGCCATAAACTCAATAGAATTGAAAGCCAACGAAGACGAAAATTACTGCATTTGGGGAACAATGTGTTGAAATATGAACCGTAAACAGAGTTTAGCTAAAGCAACAATTAACCAAAACAGTAATAACAGACACTGTTCAAATACTGTAATTTTATGTCAAGTAAAAAACTTTGGTCATCAAAATTCCCACAATGAAGTAAGTAATTACCATTTAGAGCCAACATTCACATTCGAAATGCTGAAGGAGTCCAAAGACTTGCTGGGCAAATCCGAAATATCAAAATCCCTATTCAGCTGGTTCCCCAGATAATTTATCGGAAGCAGAACCAAAATCCCAACAATCCCAGCAAACCCAAACACTCTCAAACTGCATCAAAACAAAGAAACAAAGCCCAATTCAAATACTCACCCAAAATTAATCTCAACACACCCAGCAAACCGAAATACTCTCAAACTCCATCAAAATTAACAAAACCAAACTCAAATAGGCACCCAAAAATACTCTCAACACACCCAGGAAGCAGCACACCACCATTTTCTTACCCCCCACTAACCTGAAGATAAAAATGCGCATGAAGACGACAGCATCCAAGCTGGTGACTGACAGAAGCTCGTCCTCAGAGGGCTGCCACGCCCTCCGCACCCAACCCGCGGTCGGCAGCAGCCGCTCGAAATTGAACTTGTTGCTCTCCTCCAACTCCTCCTTGGCCGCCACCGAGCGCGGCGAATAGACATTGAGGTAACTGGGTTGCTTCCTGAGTATTGAATACAGAGTGAAGAACAAGAGACAGAGGGCGAGATTGATTCCCACCGACGTTAAAAGCGCCGAAACGATCATTTCTTCGGAGCAAATGGATCGAATTCAAATAGGCACAGTTCAATTTTCGAACTTTGATCTAGTTGATTGGGAAAGTGATGAACTTTCAGCAGGAAGCAACCGACTTTTTCGAACTTTGAGCAAAGTTGAGGGTAGAGGGGAGGGGTAGGATGGAGATTTGAGCCTGAGAGTTACTGTGCAACGGAATGTATCTCCCTTTGTTTTTCGAAATTGACGATTGTACCCCTGTGTCCGCGTTGGCTCCCGCCATGTACCCCTGGGACTTATATCTGTTCAACAGAATGAACCGCTCCTTCGATTGCGTTTCGACAGCGGCCGGCGCCGCCTCGTCGTTGCCGCCGTCCAAGAGACCAGCGTTCTTAAACAAATCTGAACTCGAGCAGTCAGCCCTCCAACTCCGCCGAGAGGAAGCGGAACAGCATAAAAGCCGACAACACCATCATGTCGTCCCGAATCCCTTCAATTCCGTCCCCGCCACCGATTACCATCGCGACCGGGAATCGGAGAGGCGGAATCGTGACCGAGACCGGGAATGGAACCGTGATCGTGAACGTGAATAGGAGGCCAGGCAGCGGGAGCGAGAGAAAGTGCAGGAAAGGGAATGCCAAGTGAGATGAATGGTAGTGTTTTAGGCAGGGGCAGGAAAGGGAATTTAAACTTATAAGTCATAGGTAGCTCTCACTTTGAGGCTGTTTAAGAAGGAGAAATTTTAGCACGACGGTCACACATATTATAACACGAGTGAATTGATAGTACTACGACGATCACACCAAAACATTACTCAAAAGGAAAGCAGGCTGGGACGGGCAGGTGGGTTCAGTGCCCCTTGTTTGGAGGAAGGCGTCTGCAACTTTCATTGTTGTGGATATGAATCAAGCATTACATTAGGAACAAAATTCGTTGTTCACATCCTTTTTTCTTACTGTTAGCTGAGGGTGCGCAATTACCTTACTGCACAATTTCCTGGTGGAGCAAAACCAAGGAAACTGTGCAGCACTTAACATGTTATGGTTAGGTGGTCCTTCAGTTAAAAGTCTAGAGACGACTTGCGAGCAGCATTTGCAACCTCTGAACTGAAGTCTTTGCAAATACTTCAGATGAGGCCTTGTCCGGTTGCTCCCACCACCCACCCACCACCAACGCCGGCTGGCTTCATATATTAGTCCAACTTGTACACTAAATTCCCGTAGCGTAGACTTCGGGTGGTCCACCCACCTTCAATCCTACTCCACATATCTCTCGAGACTCTTACCCACGCCTGCCGGCGAAATACTATGATCTATCCTTTCTTAGCTACATTCTTCTCAGCAAAAGCTTAGAAATCACTTTTTCTTATTTTCTTTGAGTATTTCTCTCCAAGCAATGGGTAACATTGTCTCAATATCCCTGCCAAGCGATCCCATTTTTGAATCTTCCTGCTGGGGTTCCCTTATTCAACAGCCAAAATACATAAGTAGGCTAAAAAAAAACCTCGAAGCTCTGGGTCATTCTTTTCGAGAACTGACCGCTTTGAAGGCTGATGTGTTGAGAAAGGTTGAGGTTTCAGAGCTGCAGAGATCCATGAAGCGATTGAACCAGGTACAACTGTGGATTGAAAAGGTGGAAAAGATTGAGAATGAAGTCGCAGAAGTTGAGCATGGTCGAGTTCAAGAAATTCAGAAATTGTGTTGCGGAGGTTACTGCTCAAAAAACTACTTGTCCAGCTTCAAGTATGGAAAAAAAGTGTATAAAAAGCTGGCAGAAGTCGATGCTTTAAAGAACAAGGGCGTTTTTGCGGAGGTCGCAGAAGAAACCTTCCTGGCAACTTTAGTCCATGAAAGACCTATGGAACCAACTGTAGGCATGGAATTTGTGTTTTATAAGGTTTGGAGCCAGCTGGAAGATGAACATGTGGGAATAATTGGTTTGTACGGGATGGGAGGGGTGGGTAAGACTACCCTACTGACCCAAATCAATAACAAATTGCTCCATGTTGATTTTGATCTCGTGATATGGATTGTGGTATCCAAGGACCACAATGTTGAAACTGTCCAAGATAAGATTGGTGACAAGATTGGGCTTTCCAGCGACTCGTGGAAACAAAAACAGCAGTCAGACAAAGCTGAAGACATCTGCAGGCTCTTGAGCGCGAAGAAGTTTGTGTTATTGTTCGATGATATGTGGGAGCCTATTGAAATAACCAAATTAGGGGTTCCTATTCCTAACCCACGCAACAAGTCTAAGATAGTCTTCACAACTCGCTCGGAGGATGTATGTGGTCAGATGGACGCTCAAAAGAAGATTAGAGTGGAGTGTTTGGCATGGGACAAGGCGTGGAACTTGTTTCAGGAGAAGGTTGGGAGGGAGACACTTGGTATTCACCCAGATATTCAACGACTTGCTCAAACTGTGGCAAAAGAGTGTGGAGGTTTGCCACTCGCACTAATTACTGTTGGTCGGGCCATGGCTTGCAAGAAAACAACTCAAGAATGGAACCATGCGATTCACATTCTGAAAAAATCTGCGCACGAGTTTTCAGGTATGGAGGATAAGGTGTTCCGTCTATTAAAATTTAGTTATGATAATTTAGCCGATGAGAAGGTCAGATCTTGCTTCTTATATTGTGCTCTATATCCAGAAGATTTCTTTATATTTAAAGATGATTTAGTGTATCTTTGGATGTGTGAGGCAATGTTGGATGAATATGGGAGTGTAGAGGAAGCAAAAAACAAGTGTTACGATATTATAGGAACTCTTGTTGCTGCATGTTTGTTGGAAGTTAACTTAGATATGGTAAAGATGCATGATATGATTCGTGACATGGCATTGTGGTTAGCTCGTGACTGTGCAAAAGAAAACGACAGTTTCCTTGTCCATACAAGTGCCCATGCAGCGCCGGAAGTCAAAAAATGGAAAACTGCAACAAGGGTGTCGTTGGTAGATAATCATATTGAAAGTATAGGTTGAAACACCAAAATCTACCAAGTTGTTGACCTTATTGATTCAAGGAAGTTATATTAGCAGAAGTCCTCTCAATATGATTGTTGATGGCTTCTTCGATTACATGCATAAGCTGCGAGTTTTGGATTTGTCTAGAAATGAGAAGCTAACCCAATTGCCATCTGGAGTTTCAAACCTGATTGCCTTACAGCATCTGAATTTGTCTAGGACTGGTATAATAGAATTGTCGATCGAATTGAAGGCCTTAGTAAGGCTGAAATATTTGAACTTGGAGCATACAAATCAACTTAATTTTGTTCCACCTGAAGTAATATCAAATTTTCACATGCTAAAAGTTCTGAAATTGTTCGGCTGTAGTTCTTCAGACAGAATTCTTTTTGGTGGTGAAAGAGCCCTGATAGAGGAAATCGAGGGTTTGAAACACCTTGAGGTATTTACTTTGACCATACGAAGTAGCTATTGTTTCCAAAAATTGTTCAGCTACAACATAATAGTGACCAGCACTCAGTATCTACACCTCTCGGATGGCAAGAACTACTCAAGCGTTCTAGATATATCATCTCTCGCGGACATGAAACATCTGCGTGGCCTTCATATCAACGAATATCCTAATCTGGAAGAAATGGAGATTTATTGGGCAGGACAAGCGCCTAATGATCCTCGGAACGCAATGATGAGAAACCAAAGTCGCTTCTGTGGCCTTGAGTACGTAGATGTATGCCGGTGCCCAAATCTCAAGGACCTGACATGGCTCGTTTTCGTGCCCAATCTCAGAATCTTAGAAGTGCGTGACTGCTCTGAAATGGAGAAAATAATCGATTTGGAAAGATTTGGTAGAATGGCAGGTGCGGTGAAAGAACAAAATGCTTTCGCAAAACTTACAGATCTGCATTTGGATTCACTACCACGGCTAAGGAGCATATATGACAATGCCTTACCATTTCTGCATCTCAACCAAATCTTGGTATATGAATGTCCGGCGTTGAAGAAGCTGCCACTCAACTCTACCAGTGCCGAACGACGTAATCTCATTATATATCAGGGGACAGAAAGAGTGGTGGAATGGCTTAGAATGGGAGGATGAAGTTTCTAGAAGTGTTTTTCTTCCCTACTTCATGTTAGAATTCGGAGAGGTTGTCAGAACAGATTTCAAAGAAACTGATTTGGGGCAATTTTCAGATGATATATTATTTTTCTCCTCAAGGAGGAAATATATATTGTACAAAGACTTGTAAAACAAGAAAGATGATTAATATACTCCAATCTAATTACAATAGAAGACGAATCATAATACTTTATGTACATACGACGTATGTTAACATTGATTCTAAAGTTGGTGCATAAGTATCTGTGGTGCTCAACTTTCATATGCTTCGAAAACAAAAGTAGATGAATGCACTAAAGAACTAACTTGTTTTCTTTCTGCATTTTGAATCGACTGAAAATTTCAGAGAACTCAATGCTAAATCATTCATTTGTTTATTTCGTAAGAAAAATATGTCATTCACCTGTTGAATTTAAGTTGAATGTCACATTCTAATTACCTAAACTATTCCAACAGTCCATTTTAGAATCAAACTCAGTCGAGCTTAAGAAATTAAGTCCGATAGAGTTTAAGAAATCAACTGATCAACAAAAAGAATCCAATCCCAGAAATAAACTCATAAACTATCCAAAGTTGTGTTCAGTTACTTGTAATATAAAATAATTATATACTATTAAAAGAAGAAAGCTACGTTCCATCAAGAAAAATCAAATCCAGGTAAATTCACTAGCTCAAACTTAGGAAAACACACATAAAAACAAAAATAAAAGAGAGAAACGACATACACTCGCGGATGGTGCGCCAGACGATCTTAGCCGGGGTACGAAAAATGGATGGGACCATGGGAAGGCTGAGTGTTCATACGCTTCTTCAAGAACCTCATATACTTCATGTTCTGCCTCACCACACATCTGCTCGCAGCAAACCAGCGTCACACTCTCCTCGCTCAGAAGCCTTTTGGCGATGGTGGACGCCATGCGACCCAGCATGTGGTGGCGGGCGCGTCCATCACCACAGGCTTTGTGCTGACCTCTGTACCAGACACCATAGCTACAAACTCTCTGTAAGTTTTTCAAAGCCTAACGTGAAAGTGAGGAATGTCCGTTAGGGTTTTGGGAAGGCTGTGTTTTGTAACCCTAAACGTGTATACGTTATGGTCTTTGTGGTTGGTCTTCAGTTCGCTGGTTGAGAGCGTATCCATTTGCACGATTGAATCCAATTGGTTTTTTTTTTTAGCCATCTGGCGTGAGACTTTTAGCCACGAATAAGCTCTTGCCAGGTCAATATATAGGCATTGTTCAAGCTTACTTACTCATTAGGTATTTAACGTGGCAAGGTTCCGACAGAAAAAAAAAAAAAAAAAAAAAAACACACACACGATACGAATGCACACTAAAAATTGAGGATTAGGGTTGAGCTTTTCTTTTCTTTCTTTGATGCAAGCATATTTGTTATCTACAGATCCGAACATTCTAAAGTTTTTTCAATTATAAGTAAAGATGTATATCATTATATCAAAAAGCTTATAATGATGTATATTTTTGTCTTTTCTTATCGGAAGAAAAGTCTGTAACAAATTGACGTAATAACAATATGATTTTTGAAGTTCGAGTTGATGTTTACTCACAAAGTAAATTTTTCACATGACATTTTTTTTATTGAACAAATTATATTATTTACATTAAAGGGGAGAGGGTGAGCTTAGTCTCACAATGAGCTAGCGATAATGTGGTTCAACTTCACATTTGGTAAGAATCGAACTTAGAACCTCTCACTTACAAGTAAAGAGGATTACCATTAAATCATAGTACTAAGTGGCATAATAGTTTAAATTCTTTTTCTCATGATAATTTAGTTACATGACTTTTTAGAGGTAATTCCTTTAAACATAAGTTTATATTGAATTACAAGAATTTTCAGTTATATTAGACTTTATATTATTTTATTAGTTGTATTATGTTCTATTGATTTTATACAATGACACTAAGGGTGAAAATTGGACTAAATCGTGTAATGAGCTAGTAATAATTTAATATTAAACTCATCATCCGTGAAAGTTGAATCTTAACCATTTCAAGTGCAATGCAAGAATAAATATAAGAAATCTCTAACCGTACAAATGGCAATATCTTATTATTTAATTAACTAGAATGATAAGAAACGACAAAGCGGGTAAAATAGGAAATACCATGTGAAATTTGTGATTTAATTTTGGGTTTTATATATTTAGACACCGTATATTACCCAGCTGGTTTTGTGTTTAAAGTAATTTTACACAATGTTTACGTAAAAGAATTAAAATTAAAAAAAATCTAATTATTTATTTTCACCATTTATCAAGTAAACATATTAGACATGTTTTCGGGTCTTCTACTAACGTAACCCGGTATGGCTGTGGTATCCAAATTTAACAACGGGGTGCACACAATATTAATACACAAACGAACTTTAACCACAGCGTGACAGTTGTCAGCATGATGCGCTAAGTGTAGCGACCAAGAATCCAACGGATGAGAGATTTTTCAGTGTGATTGAACTATTGATGGTATATTATGTGTTTTTATATAAACGGAGCGAAATTTTATGTTTTAAGTTATTAATTTTTTATCACACATATCTCACTATTTAGATAATAATACATGATGTATTGTTCTAATTCTATTGAAAAATCTCTCTTCATCCGAAGGTGCACACAAAATTAATACACTAGTTGGTTTCCTTTCGCGTACTTTGCCGTTTCGATCCCTTCGACAGCAAACCACCACGACCTCAGCCGTCGTCTCCGGCGATCCATTCGAATCTCCAATATCAACAGGTCTTTACCTCCGATTTGATTAATTTCAGATCGTTCAATTTTTCGTCATTATTCCGCAATTCAATTTCCCAATTTTGATGGATTTGGGGCTTTATATCTGAATTATTGTTGAAATTGTATGATGGGTTGAATGCAGAGAGAAATTTAGGGAAATATGAGCGATGTATTCGAAGGGTACGAGCGCCACTACAGTGAACTCTCCGCCAACCTCACCAAAAAGTGTACGGTAGCTGGTGCTCTCGATGGAGGTAAGAAATTTCTCACTTTTCCTTTTTTTTTTTATTTTTTTTTTTTTTATTTTTTGTGAATTTAATCATATGTATGGTTGCCCTGAATTTGGATGATTCATGTTGTATTTAATTGTGCTGATGACATGGATTTTATGAATAAAGTTTGAGTCTTTTTGTTGGTGGCATAAACCTGATGAAGGATCTTAATGTATGTATTCGATTGAATTAATTATGCGAGAACCGAGTTTCCGTTGGGATTAGTGTGGATATGTGTCTTTTGGATCACTAGGACTGCTAAGTTTCTCACTGTTGCCGCTTTGCCGCAAAATTATGCTTCTTAATTTGAGGTTGAAAAGGTTTAGTGGACTCAAAAGATGGCAAAAGTCTTAGGATGATAGAGCTTCCACCGGCTTGAGTTATGCATAATATGTTAATAATGATTGTTTTAAAAATGGGGAGAAAACAAGAAAGAAAAGGACTGAAATGCTCGAGGCAATAGGATCGGGTCTTGGATTGTGCAGTGTGTGTCTTTAAGTTTTTCAACATTTGAATGGAAATGAAATGGATGGAAGGAGGGTCGGTTCTGAATTTTGTGGATGTTGAGTATTGTAGGTACAAAGATAAAGAGAAAAGGGGTTTTAATTCATTTCATGCAATAGATATATTTCCCAAAAAAGCATCTTACCTGCAAACTTCTATCTATATAAAATTGAACTTAAGAATAATATTTCAAATTGTGCTCGTTAGGAGTTTAAACATACTCTTAGTCTTCTTTTTTTACTTCTTGTTCTTGTTGTGAATGCGTATATTCTCCCTTATCAAGTCAAGAGATATTTATGGACACTACTGTCTGTATTATAATCTCAGAACAAAAGAAGCAAAAGGTTACTGAAATAAAGGCTGGAATCGATGATGCTGAATCTTTGGTAATTGATTGAACTATTCTCTTTGGGAGGATTTTATTTTTTGGTTATTTCTTTCTACTTGGTTCTGATGTGCTGTTTCTTAAAAAATTTCAGATCCGGAAAATGGACCTCGAGGCAAGAAGTTTGCCACCAAATATTAAGGCTGTGCTTCTTGCTAAGTTGAGGGAATATAAGTCGGATCTGAATAATCTGAAAAGCGAAGTTAAAAAACTTGTATCTGGAAACGCATATACATCTGCCCGAGATGAGTTGCTGGAATCAGGCATGGCTGATGCTCTGACAGTATGTCTAAATCCTTTTAGCTTTTTTTATTTTTCGAATAGTTATTTAAGATATTAAATGTGATTCATTATTTGGTAGTGAGTTTGTGATGGGTCTTGGTATATATTTGACATGAAACGTGGAGTTCTTCTACTTTTTTGAGGAAGATTTCACTTCGGTGTGCTATTTTAGTTATCTCATTCCAATTCGCTTGCTCGAGCAATAGAATGAGTGAACATGATTAGTTCTGGTTTGACTTGATGGTCACTTCACTTGTTAATTTGAAACAAAGATGCTTGAAACAACAATGAATATTTGAGTTTGAAAATTTGTTCTTCACTGGGCACTTTCGTTTTTGTCATAATTATTAGTCTTTCCTTTATTTGTGATAATTGATGATACTATTGTATGCTTTCCATGACTTGATTTGTGTCTTAAACCTTCCGCTCTTAGCCTTTCTTGATATTGTGGATAAATGTTTTTACAATACTTACTGACTAATGAAAATCAAATAGGCATCAGCTGATCAGAGGTCAAGGCTAATGATGTCAACCGAGAGATTAAACAAGTCCAGTGATAGAGTTAAGGACAGCAGAAGAACCATGCTCGAAACAGAAGAGCTTGGTGTTTCGATCCTCCAGGATCTGCATTCACAGAGACAATCACTGTTGCATGCTCATACCACAGTAATACCTTTTCAGGCTTTATATTCATTTTACGGTTGTTTTGACAGTCTTTCCGCAAACAAGTTTCTTTTCCATCTCTCGTCCTCTTATGTTTAGTGTCAGTATGCACGCCTTCTCTTCC